TTATCAAATGGGTGATATTGAGCGCCTCAAATCAAGATTAGTAGTATTGGGCAATCACCAACAGAAGGGTATTGATTACAATGAAACATTCGCTCTGGTGGCCAAAATGACTACAGTTCGTGTCTTCTTAGCAATAGCGGCTTCAAAAAATTGGGCATTGCACCAAATGGATGTCCATAATGCCTTTTTGCACGATGATTTAGATGAAGAGGTGTACATGAAATTACCTCCCGGATTTGAGAGTTCAGAACCGTCTTTGGTGTGTCGGTTGCGCAAGTCGTTGTATGGCTTGAAACAAGCTCTTAGGTGTTGGTTTGCAAAATTGGTGTCGGCTTTGAAAGGTTATGGTTTTCTTCAATCCTACTCAGACTATTCTCTCTTCACATATGTTAAAGGCGTTGTTCGCATTAATGTCTTGGTTTATGTGGATGATCTTATTATTTCTGGGAATGATTCCGCTGCACTTACTGTTTTCAAAGCTTATCTCAGTGATTGCTTCAAAATGAAGGACCTGGGAAGTCTCAAATATTTTTTTAGGAATTGAAGTGGCACGTAGCTCATTAGATTGTCTCTGTGTCAACGAAAGTACACTTTGGATATTATCTCTGAAACATGATTGTTGGGAGCAAAGCCAAGTGCGTTTCCCATTGAGCAGAACCATAAGCTTGGCCTTGCTACTGGTGATTTTGTCCTGGATCCCGAATCATATTGACGGCTTGTGGGTCGTATGGTTTATCTTGCGGTCACTCGACCAGACTTGGCTTATTCGATCCATATTTTATCTCAATTTATGCAAGAACCTCGCATGGAGCATTGGAAGGCGGCCCTTCGAGTCGTTTGTTATTTGAAAGGGACTCCTGGTTAGGGTATTTTGCTTCGTGCAGATAGTGAATTGACATTGAAAGGTTGGTGTGATTCGGATTGGGCGGCTTGTCCCCTTACTCGCCGTTCTCTAACAGGATGGATAGTGTTTTTAGGCCAATCTCTGATTTCTTGGAAGACGAAGAAACAAAATACGGTTTCCCGATCCTCTGCCGAAGCTGAGTACAGGTCTATGGCCGCAGTCATTGGTGAATTAAAGTGGCTAAAAGGACTGTTGTTGAGTTTGGGTGTTCACCATCCTAAAGAAATTAAATTATTTTCTGATAGTGAGTCTGCGTTGCATATTGCGAAAAATCCAATCTTTCACGAGCGAACAAAACATATTGAAATCAATTGCCATTTTGTTCGGGATGCAATAAATGAGGGTTTGATTTCACCATCTCACGTCTGCACATCGTCTCAATTGGCGGACATTTTCACAAAAGCACTCGGGAAGGCTCAGTTTAATTCTCTCCTTTCCAAGTTGGGCATTTTTGAATCCCATGCTCCAACTTTAGGGGGGGTATTGAGATATATTTAGGAAAATAATTGCTAGGATATTTTCTAATTTACAGATCTCCAAAGATATGATTTTTGATGTACTACTATTATAAATATGGTTACCTGTGATTGAGAATGAACAGGCTAATTTACCAATTCTTCACATACATTTCTTAATTTTTATATTATTCTTAATACTTACATCATCAAAACTCTTCATAATTATTCAATGTTTTGCAACACTAAATATATTTTTATTTATTTATATTGTATTAAAAGTTCACCATCTAAAACAATTTCTCAAATACTCTTAGTCAACAACTACTTGTAAATTTCATATAATAAAAGTTATTATTATTGATAGTTTGCAAGTATGTTCTTTTAATAGATAGATAGTTATGGATGAAAATAAAGATAGTGTACTGACCGTGTAAAGGAATATTATATTGTCAACCAATCAATTTTAGTCAATTTATAATGTCATATTCAAACAATTTAAATAAAATTAAATAAATAAAAGTTTTAAAAATAAATTTAATGGTAGTGCCTTATAAATGTAAAAAAATATTACACATACATCTAATCAAAATATTTTAAAATGTCAAATCATATAAATAATTTAAAATTTGTAAACTGACTTGACAGAATACATAATTGTTATTGATTGACATTGTAAAAATAATATACACAGTCAATGCATCATGCCCTTTCTCTCTAAAAACTTTGACACGGGTAATAAATAACCGCTTCATCGTGTTATTGTGGTATACCATTTTCTCTGCATTGTGTTGAATGTCGTGTGCCATTTTTCTCAATACTGTATCAAAATGAAACTCATTCTTTGTATCTTTCTCTAACTTTTTGTTCTATAATGTGCTTTTTTTTCTCTCTCTTAATACTTGAATGTTGTTCCAAAGAAAATACTCTTTCAAGTGAATTGTGAAGTTGGTCCTACATAATTCTTAAAAATGGCTTCAGGTACAGATTATAGATTGTGTAATTATTCTTTTTATCCATACACTCATCATTAATTCTTGCTCTTCTAAATATTTAAATGTTTTGTTCTTTCAGGTATAGAAATGACAAAAATGCATGTAACTTCTATCGGGACGAGTTTTTCTGATATGTTTGAAATTATGGGCGGCAAAATGGATGAATTTAATGAGTATGGATTAAAATTTTAAATTATTTTCTTAAAATTATCCAATCCAATTCATCAATTAAAAATAAAATTCATCCATATATTCATTAACATATTTTAATGGATGACATCAATCTTTTTTTTTTTATTTCGTAAAAATAAATATTTTTTTTTTTAAAAATCGATTTTATTTTATTTTTGAAAAATTCATTTTTTGTTAAAAAAAATTATTTTTTTTATTTTCAAGAAAAAAATTGATATTTTAATTTTTGAAAAATATCGATTTTTTTTCCAAAAAAAAATCGGTTATTTTTTTGGGAAAATTTTTGTTTTCTTTTATTAAAAAAGAAATTGGTTTTTTGTTTCGGAAAAAAATCGTTTTTCTTAAAAGCGACTTTTTTTCGAAAAACAAATCAGTTTTTTATTTTAGAAAAAAACCGATTTTTTTCAAAAAAAAAAAACTAATTTTTTTCGAAAAAAAATTCGATTTTTTATAGAAAAATTACAGTTTTTTTATTGGAAAAAAAATCAATTCTTTTCTTTTAAAAAATCTATTTTTAATTATTTTTTAAAAAAATTATTTTTAATCATTTTTTAAAAAATAAATCTAACGAAAATAAAAATAATCCATTGGATCCTTAAAATATGTTGGGTGGATTGAATCCATCCATGCATATAAATGGATGAATTTAATCCAATCTATTAACTTATTTTTTATGTGGTGCATAGATTTTTTGATAGATGAATTAGATGGATTTTGTCTTAATGTATCTAATTGCCACCTCTATTTGAAATGACTCATGATGCGAAAAATCTCAGCAATAAATTACAATTACAGTCTACCTTGGAGCCATACGAAGGAATGGATTTTGTATCATTTGAAGATGCAAAAACTTACTATACACGATATGCAAAAAATAAAGGTTTTAGTTTTCGAATGGGTCATATTACTTAATCAAGAACAAATGGATTGATAATTGGCTAAGAGATTCTTTGTTCAAGGAGGGATTTTAAGATTCTTTGTTCAAAGGAGGGATTTTAGGCTTAAAAAATATGCAAAAGGGGAAAATAATAAACCTATAACTCAAGATGAAACAAGGGTAGGATGCAAGGCAATGATATACCTAAAGAAAAATGAAGATATATGGGTCCTAACAAAATAACATATGTATTAAGTATTGAAATTGGTGGTATTGATAATATTAGATTTTGTCAACAAGACGTTATTGATTACTTAAGTCAAAAGAGATAAAAACAAATCAACAAAGGAGATGCTCAATTGATGTTATCATCTTTTAAAAGTTGTCAATTAAGGAATCTTGGATTTTTCTATGTTTTTCAATTGGGCGTGGACGGTCAATTAACTAATTGCTTTTGGGTTGCTGCAAGTTCCAAAATGAGTTATAAATATTTTGGTGATATGGTAACTTTTGATCCAACATATTTAACAAATAGATACAAAATGCCTTTTGTTCCATTCATTGGAGTTAATCATCATCAACAATCCATTTTTTGTTGTTGTGCATTGTTGTAGGATGAAACTGAAGAGAGCTTTGTTTGGTTGTTAAGTACATGGTTAGAAGTAATGTCTGGAGTTTGTCCTAAAACAATCATCACCGACCAAGACACTGCTATTACTAATACAGTTGCAAGTGTGTTTCCAAATGTTAATCATCACTACTGTATGTCACACATTGATAGAAAAAGTTCCAGGGTACTTGAACAATATTTGTCATGAATACAATGATTTTAAAAGTCAATTTTATAAGTGTATTCTTCAATCGATCACTGTTGAGGATTTTGAATCAGATTGGAAAGCAATGATAGATAAATATGGGTTGCAAGACAGTCGATGGCTTCAAAATATATACTATATTCAATCAAAATGGATTCCAGCTTATGTGCGTAACAATTTTTATGCTGGAATGTCCACTATTCAAAAAAGTGAAAGTATGCATAAGTTCTTTAAGGATTTTTTGAATTCTAGTACTACATTGAACAAGTTTGTGACACAATATGACAAGGCTCTTAATGCACGAGTTAGCTACTTTCAAGACAATCAATTCAAAACCTTTTTTGCAAACTTTATATCTTAGGGAAGAAGAAGCTTCAAAAATATTTACAAGAAAATTATTTAGAATTTTCAAAATGAGTTAGCTAGTTCTCAAAAGTTTATTGCAGAGAAAGTTGAGTTTTCTAGTGATCTTTCCACTTACAAGGTTCATGAGCTTTACAAGGAGAAACCTAACTACTATGTAACTTTTCATATCATTTCGAATGAAATGAATTGTAGTTGTCACATGTTTGAATTTTTAGGTATTTTTTGTCGACGTGCATTAAATGTGCTCCTAAAGAAAAATATTTTTTCTCTTCCTTCAAAGTATATGCTCCGTCGTGGGACTATTGATGCTAAAAGGAGCAAGTTATATGACCAACAATAAATCAATTTCAAGAAGGTAGCAACGAATCTTCTAGTACTTTATTATTTAATAGTATTATGATTTGTTCTTTAGGAGTATCTGAAAGAGGTTCGCGGTCTCAAAAGCATCATGATGTTACAATTCAAGGTTTTCAAAAGATAATTGAAGAGCTCGATTTGTTAGATCTTAAGGACTCAAATGAAGATCTTGGTAATTCAACATCTGAGGTTATTTCAAAAGCCTCTAGCAATGAAATATTTGTGTGTGACCCTCCGGTTGCGACCACTAAAGGGCGTCCTCGAACATTTCGAATGAAAGGAAGCTTGGAATTGTGCAATAAAAGTGCATTTGTATGTAGTTATTGCAAGAATAAAGTTCATAACAAGCGTAAATGTTCAAGTTTAAATCAAATAAGGTATCTTTAAAATTCACATTTATTTTTATGATTTGATGTTGACAATCCATATGTTATTAATTTTTCAAATAAGTTATTGCTATTGTTAAGGTGAAGGTCTAACACAACATGTTGATTAGGTGTGATATTATTAATGGACAATTTTCAAATGTTGATGGTAAAGATTCTACTGCTGATTTTATTCAAAGGTACTACCTCTGTTCCTTTATATAAGAGACAATTCACTTTTTTGGTTCATTGAATAATCATTGTATCTAGTCTATAAATCGATCAAATACATTGATTATTCAATGAATCTAAAAAACAAATGGTCTCTTATATAAAGGAATAGCCATAATAATTGTTTGAAATAACTGATCCATCTTTGAGACACTGGTGATGATGTTCAAATACCTTTAATATGTATCAGAATACTCTAGATTATTCAATGATTGACTTTAAGGTAGAAGATGTACTTCGCAAAGCTAAATATTGAAGCTACAAAAATTCTATTACGAATCTAAAGAAAACAAGTCGATTTGAGACACTGGTGTAGATGACTTTACTGTTGAATTGTCTTGTCTCATGTGCAGTCCAATTTCTCTCTTCGGGGCCCTTTCCACCACATTCTCTTCATTTTTTCTGCTTTTACGAGTCTTTTCTTGTTTCCCCTTCTCTCTCTTTTTTTTTTTCATTTTCCTTGTAGCGTGTTACCTTCTTTTTCTCACATTCCTATTTTTTCCATTCTTCCCGATAATCCTTTTTGGTTTATGACAAAGGGGGAGAAATAAGGTTTAGGTTCTTAAGTCTAGAGTCTATAGAGTAGTAAGAGATTTGATTTTGATTGTTTTTATCCAATGATCAATCCCGAACATCCCTAAACTTGGATGAAATTTCTTTGTAATTTCGATGTTATATCAAATGATTGAAATTTCTTTCTAATTTATGTTGTGCATGTTTTTGTTGATTGATTATCAATGAATGATTTTTTATATCTATGAATGTTGATATGCTTGTTAAAACTTCTAAATCTTAATGAATTATTTTATGCGATTTTTATGTGATTGTAAGTCTTAAATTCATGGGGAGCTTGCAAAGCTAACTTTGAAATCTAAAACAAAGAATAATGTTTAAGCCAAGAAAATGTTGTTAGTCTAAAATTAAGGGGGAACATACAAATCTAACTCTAAACTTTAGATGATTTCCTGTGGGAGCTTGCAAACCTCACTCTAAACAATCAAGCTAAGAAAATTTTTGAAGTCTAAAACTCAGGGGGAGCTTACAAACCTTACTCTGAATTTTAGCTTTCTTATCTAATTTGAGATTTTATTTAAGCCAAAATTGTTTTGAATCTTAAACTCAGTGTGAGCTTGCAAACATTACTCTGTAGATTTATGTTGAAGAAATAAATTTGAAAGTATAAAACTCAGGGGAAGCTTACAAACCTATCTCTGAAATTTTATAAGTATGATTGCTTATTGAATAAAAATTGTTCATCAAAATACATGGATTTGTCATCATAAAAAAGGAGGTGATTTTTGGAACGAGTTTGGTTCTATAACTATCGTTAAGTTTTGATGATAACAAAGTGTAAGTGAAAAATTTTGTACTCTAACTATTTTGCTGAGTGTGCTGAAAATTGGAATCGGACTCTGACTCTGACTCTGACTCTGAAGATGCCCAGACTCAGAACCAAATAATAGAAGCATTTAAAACAAGTCAACTTTGATCTACCAAGTCAACATTCTGAATATAAGTTCTCTAGACTGACTATGATATCAACCTTTGACTATCTACTTGTGTGAAGTCTCAGAACCCAGCACTCAAAAAACTATGAAGTCTCACCAAATATTTTGAAGACATAATCTGATTACTACTCAAGCTTCAATCTACTTCCATACAAAGCCTTTGACTAGAAAGATTTGTATTAAAATTCAACAAAAATTTGATGTGACATAAGTACAAAAGCAAATCTACTTTTTTCATCAAGTAATGTACTTTGTGTCAAAGAAGTTTTCTGTGTCCCATCATATTCACCATCTACTGGCTACAACTCTGCTCTATTGTTACTTTTGAAGTGATCTTCATACAAGGGGTACTTAGAGGATATTTCATTTTCACCTCCAATGGATCTATTTTTCATTTATATAAATAGGTCTTTAGTGATTAAAGAACAAGCTTTTGATACACGCACTGAACATTGATAAATGCTCACACTCAAGAAATATAAATAGAAAATAAGAAGTATTTCTTAGACTTATACATGTCAGTGAACTGCATTTGTTGGATTAAGTCCTTGTCTAAGGCAATACACCCAGGTGGGTGGGCTGGAGGTAGCCTTGTTAATAGTGAACCAGGATAAACATCCTTGAGTAACTTATCTTTACTTTCATTTTTTTAAGCTTTTATTTTGGGTTGAAAATAACAGTCAACCTAGAAACTCAATTCAAACCCCCTCCCCCCTTTATTGTGTTTCTTGAACCTTCAATAATTTCTTTGTCGTTATGGATGAAGTGTATGACTTTTGTAGGTTTCCCCTTTAGAGATATTTACGATTATTTGTTGTATACAACATGATATTTATTCCCAATGTCTTCACAACCCTCATTTTGGGACCAGTGATCTTGAATTTTTAAAGTTGTTGTGGGGACATGCCTAGTTGATTTATTTGACATCCCTAAGGAAGTTGTGATATGGATATTCATCTCTTGCGCTTTGGAATGTCTAGCTACTAAGAGGGGTGAGAACGAATCATGACCTTTGCGTTTTCGGTTCCACTTTCCTTGATCATGCAACTTTTTCACATTCGGGGTTTGATGCCTTTAGTCTCACACTACCATTGCTTTTGAGGTTTGCATTGTTTTTTTACAATGCATCTCCTCCACGTTCATGGTTTTTGACTTTGCTTAGATTTTAGATTTATCATGTCATTCACATAATGATAATTCGAGGGTTTTTGACAAAAAAAATCCCACCCTTTACCTTGGTAATGAAATGTTTACATTGTAAGGATTAACATAAAATGATGGAAATCATATAATGGCAATGACTTAGTTGCGACATTTTTTTAATTAGGTTCTCTTCTTGACGAAAGAGGCTCCCCGTGGTGGGTTTTTTTTTGTTGAACAAGCATTTTCAAATACATGAGGAACGTGAATTGTGATTTTTTTTAAACCTTTTAGAAAAGACAATTAATTTTAAGAAGAAGGTAGATGCGAAGAAGTAACAGCGAAATAGATAAATAATTGCCGGCATCTCATAAATTATGACCTCGCAAGCGTTTGCACACTTGTAGAAATGATTGAACAGAGTCGACGCCAAACTTTATTTATTCCAAAGAAGGAAAGGAAAAATATTGATAAAACCCTTAAAAGAAAGAGAAAATGGTTGTCGAATCAATTTCAGGATTAAGAGTCGATTACACAAGAGGAAGGTATTAGTACCCCTTACGTCTGTTGTACTCAATGGTAAACTTTTATTTAGATTTGTAATTGTATATTAACATATGTTAATTGTTTTATTCGAGTGATAAAAGATTGAAAATAGAAAATAAAATGGGTCGCAAAGATGCGTCTATTAGGGTGCTTGACGAGATTGTAGGTTTCGCTCCTACGTATCCTCAAGTACAATGAGGAATTCAAAGATATGTAGTTCTTCACATAATACTACATGTTGGTTGGTTTTTTTTTAATGAACGAGTGTTTAGATCACGCTCTAGCGGTTAAATGTTATTTGTGCTCTCAATTGGAGACTTAAAGTGTTTGTTTGTATTTGCTTTAGAATAGACTAAACAATGTTCTTTTTTAAAAGGTTTTCGATAGCACGAGGGCGAGAAGATATGTTTGATGTGTTGAGTGTTTTTTAAGAGCACGACAAAAATTTGAGCAATATGGCACCGCCAATCACTCATTTATTCGAGGATCAGTGATGCATGTGCCTCTCATTCCCTTTTCATCCAATTTTGATATTTTGAAAAGTATTTGCAGAAGACGAATATTCGCAACAGTAAGGCAAGCACCTCCCACTTGCTTACTTGATTAGAAGTAAGGCGTGCGCCTCCCATTCCTTTTATCCAAATTTGATTAGAGTATTTTATTTGGAAGACGAAAGTTCAAGCAATATGACGCACGTCAATCACTCACTTATTCGAGGAACAGTTAGGTGTGAGCCTCCCATTCCTTTTCTTGATACTTTAGTAACAAAACAAAAATAAAATTAGTTAAAATGAAAAAAAATCGGGCGCAAAAATGCCTAAAAAATTAAAATGAATGCATTAAAATAATCTACGCGGAATATACTTCTGTAAAACAGACAGGTAAAGATCAAATTTTGAAATAAAAAATGCATGGCTGAAAAGGCTCAGGATGATCAAAATATGAATGTAAATGGGATCGAAAAAATTAAACGAGCACACTAGGTTTAACTTTGCAAATCGTAGATCAATAAAACTGACAGCTGCAACTCCGATCTCGAAATTCCACCCCCTCCCCCGTTAATTCTATGCATATTTGAGAAATGATTCAACAGGTTTATCTATAAAACCAAAATTTTACTATAAACAAAATAAAATAAAGTTGGATGCATGAAAGTTTAAAATTCATGGACAAAATTGGGGTATGACAGCAACCAAAAATTAAAGATAATGGGTAAGAGAGATCGCATCATAGAAGCTTAGTCTAGTCTCCAAGAGTTTCCTCTTAATATTTTCACTTACAACAACTTGAGTTATTACACATGTTAAAACTAAAAACCTAACACCAAGATTTTTTTATAATTTTAGCTTGCAAGATTCAAACTTATTAAAATAGTACAAGAGAACTAAGATCTTGATATAGAAATTCAACACAAAACAAAAAATATAACTCTCATATGAAGTTTTTCACTCTCTCAACACTAAGGCAATTCTAGTGAATAAAAATTATAAAATAATGAGAGGGGTGAGATAAGAGAGTTGATTATTCAGGAAAAAAACATGTGTTTAGAAGTGAGGAGATCACTCCTTTATATTGGAAAAAATGGATTAAAAAGTTAACAATTCATGAGCCTATTTTCTTCTTAATCAATTAGATCAGTAACCTAATCACTTAGATTAATCTAGAAAATAAAACCCTAATATGTAAGTGACTTAATTGATTACAAGGGTATCTAACTTATTAGGATGTCTTACTCTCGCTTTAATCAATTAGATGAAAGGCCTAATCAATTAGACAATGATTTTTGACTTCCTAATTAAT